AGATGACAAGGATATATGGACAATGAAGTTGGTGGGAAAAAGGAACGACAGAGGCAAGGGTCAGTTATAAAGAGGTTGATTCTGAAATGTATGTTTGTTTTGAAACTGGTTTGCCTCGTGAAGACTCATTTCCATGAACACAGAGGACGAAAGGAAAAGAGAGGAAAATAGGATCTAACTCATCCTGCCAGTCTTCATCAACATCAGATCATTTTGGAATACAGAACAGGATTTTATTTTAAAACAGTAAGGTCTTGCTTAGTTTTTCTATTTTACTTTTTTTATTATTAATTTATATTAAATGTTAGCTGATGTCCAAAATCAGAAAACACATATGATATGTAAGACAGCTGATATTGCTTAAGTTGTAAGATGTTTAAGGGCCATGGACTTGTAATTGTTCTATGGGTTGTGATTAATAACAGCATCATAATTAAAGTTAATTAAATTACATTTACTGTAAATTTTGTTTAGTAAGTGTGTGTATTTGTATCAGGCAGGATGTGAGTAGAGTGTTCCACCTTACATGGGCTTAACAGGAAGTTTAAAAATAGCATTTTTAAGAAATAATTACAAGAAATAATTGATTACCAGATATTCAGGGTCCATCCTTCATTTATTTTATTTTATTTTATTTTATTTTATTGGTTTTTTTTATTATTTGTTTAATTAAAAATGTAAATGTAAATATTATTTTCCATTCCTCTCAATACAATACTGTTCAATACATCAATACATATGCTGTGTTTCAATACATGGCAATGTATGAAGTGCCTTATATCCTATCCAGTGTTTGTCTAAAACATTTATTCCAAATCTCAGATATTCTTCAGAATAATTACTTATGTAAAATAAGTACAGAATCACAACCTATTTTAATTTGGTTTTAATGTAATGATGCAACATATCTATGGACATTTACTTCTTTTTACGTTGATATTGTACAATATTCCCATCATGTTAAGTAGTTTCAGCAGATTTTTCTGTATATCAGATATCAGGATATGAATGTATTCCTTTCAATCAGCTTTATCTGCTAAATATTACACTATATAGAACACAGTTTTTTTTTTCTTCACTCATTGTTTTAATCTTTAACCAGCACTGCTGTATGGCATTGGCTTTACAAATAAAGCTCTGTTTTAATTCCTATTTTTCTTGTTTAATCAGTTAAGCAGCATTCTTAGTCGTGCTCTCACTGGCTTTGTTTTTCACATTCTTGTTCAGTTTTAAAGTAATTTGAAATACAAAAACAAAGTGAGTCATTGAGTCACATGGCACTTCAGTATCTCTACATCATAATAGTAGCTGAGCAACTTGCTTTGTAACAATGTCAGTCTCAACAACATGTTTAGCGAGGTAAACAGCTCTGGTCATGGCTTGTCAGTATGTGTTAAACAAAGGCCTCGTCATTGGAAATGATGTGGATGGATGTCGACCAGTATCATGGAGTCATACTCATCAAGAAGAGGTCACACTGACCTGACCCTATAGAAACATGATCACTTTCCCACTGAGAACTTTCACAGAGAATCGTTTCTCTACATCTCATTCAAAGTTTAGAGTCCTCTCTCTCTAAAGAAAGAAATGAAAGTGATAACAGAGCTCCAGGGTCAACTGATCATTACTTTGGTTCACTTGATTATATAAATTGTTTATTGTTTGTTTACCAGTTTGAACTATAGAAAAGTTTACTGATTTGCGTTTAGAAAATGAGATGAGGGATTGTTTCTATTTATGTCTCTGAAGTTTAATTCATGATGTGAATATTGAGTTTCTGGCGATATGAGGTAAAAAGTGAATGTGAGGCATATTCTTTAGTCATGTTGAGTAATTTTACTCCTAAAAGGAAGTAGTATAAGACTCAATGTACTAGTTTTAGGCAGCTGACACCAGACCTAACAGGATTACATTATCATTCATCTGTGAAGAAATGATGAATCACTTGCAAGTGAAATTAATGAATCTAACTGAATCAAACTGAATGAAAACATAATAAATTGAACTGAATTAAGTGTGAATCCGGTTTCACAGTTATAAACTATTCTGTCAGGTAGCATTTACGAAATTGAAGTAAAGTGAAGTAAAATGAGTCAAATATAGTTTAATCAAATCAAATGTCAATATGACTTCACAGTCATAAACTTTACGCTGACAGTTTTTTTTTTTTTTTTCACTTCAGAAATAAACCCCAAACCAAACCAAACTGAACTGAATCAAATCAAACCGAATCAAACTGAAAATGTGCAAATTTCACAGTCATAAACTTTACTCTTACAGGTAGCATTTTCAGTAGTGAAGTGTTGTGAATTGAACTGAACCAAATTCAATGTAATGAAACGAAAATAAATGTGAACTTAACCAAACAAACCAAATCAAATCAAATGTGAATATGGTTTTACAGTCATAAACTTTACTCTTAGAGATATTGTTTTTCTTCACTTCAGGACTGAAGTGAAGTGAACCAAACCAAACTGAATCGGATTTAATCAAATGTGACCCTAGACCACAAAACCAGTCATAAGTAGCACGAGTATATTTGTAGCAATAGCCAATGATAAATTGTATGGGTCAAAATTATTTTTCTTTTATGCCAAAAATCATTAGGATATTAAGTAAAGATCATGTTCCATGAAGATATTTTGTAAATTCACTACAATAACTATATACAAACTTAATTTTTGATTAGTAATATGTGTTGCTAAGAACTTCAATTGGACAACTTTAAAAGCGATTTTCTCAATATTTTGATTTTTTTTGCACCCTCAGATTCCAGATTTTCAAATAGTTGTATCTTGGCCAAATATTTTCCCATCATAACAAACTATGCATCAATGGAAAGCTTATTTATTCATAAATCATATAATGTATAAGTATAATCTTATAAATCTTAAATTTAAAAAAAATTGACTCTTATGACTGATTTTGTTGTCCAGGGTCACAAATGTGAAAATTATTTCACAGTCATAAACTGTATACTGATAGGTAGCATTTTCAGAAGTAAAGTGCAATGAATGAGTGAGGTAAAGTGAATTTAATAACTTATTTCATGAGCTGTCCTCATTAAAATACTTAAAATACAGCATAATTACAGTGATAAACTACTAGTCATAGCCACCAAAACCTGTTTGAAAGAAGATCTGGGAAAATGAGGGCCATTTCCTGTTTCAAAACAGCTTCAAAAACTGTGCAGACAGCATCCCTGAACCCAGATTAACTTGTAATCCTGCTCAACCAAGCACAAGAGTTGGCCCCGTCCCATTGAGGAAGTGAATGCAGCGGGAGGAGCGACGTATCTAGGTGAGATGGGCGGTATCCTCTTACATAGGTGAGGGTTTTGATCGGGGGCAGGGAAACTCCAAACAAATCTCCACAAGACAGAGGCTGGATAGGTGGAAAATTTCAAAAGACAGAGTCTTGCAGCGTAGAGAGTTTGAAACAGCATTAGGGCAGATCGGGTTGCAGTAATTGTTAAGTGAAAGACAAGACAAGGAAGAAGTTACAGAAAAAGAAAAAAGAAGCATTGTGCATTAAGAAAAGCAAGGTTGCAGAAAGAGGTGTCTTCTTTTGGCATAGAAGTGGCTTCTGTGGTCTCCATTGGCCATTCTGCTGTGGTCTGTACGACCGGCAGATTGCAGGAACGCATCGACAGCAGCGATAAAACCATGAGGGTGAGTGTGAACTGATTCGTTCTGCTCAAAGAACAAACTAATGTAGTCAGAACAAAGATAAGCAGGACATTTACTTTGCTGATCGCTAGGTTGACAAGTGTAGACTGTGTTGTTGTGTGATTTTGAGAAGAGAATTAACTTTTGGATGGCATGGTTGGATCTGTCGAGAATTGTGCGATTATTGTACATTTGCTATAATCTTGCACCAATCTTTATGTCATGCCAAACTCATTTGATTTACAATCATATGGACAGCAGATAAATTACTATTATAAGGAGTTGCTATTAAAATGTCAATAGTTCATTCAAATATAGCCTATATGTTTATAAAACAGTTGCGTTCCTTGCTACATCCGTCATGTTGTCATTATCATGTGATAACGTAAATTATCAGCTGCATTTTCATAACTTCTCTCCTCTGGCCTCATGGGATAATAAAGTGTCTGATATGCACTCACCAGAAATAGTAGGACTTTTCGCTTACTGTTTTATGAATTTGAACTTTTCTCACATACTGTTTTCACCTATTATAGCAGGATACTATATAGTATGCAGACTACCAGTCTGTGTGTTAGTAATGGGGATTTTTCGGTGACTCTTTTGCAGGTTACATTGTTAGGCCAGTAGGTGGCAAGTGACTGTTTTCGTTATTCATACAGTCGATTCATTCAAGGAACTGAATACGTGAACATTTTACAACTGAGTCATTGAATCATTCACTTAAACAATTAATAAAAAAATTAATCACTATGGAACGTGACTATGAATGAGTCATTGAATAATCTACTCAACATGCAGTATTTATTCAAAAACATAGAAGCATTCAGGATCGAGACACTTCTAGTGTGTGTTGGTGTTCGGTTTGGCTGCGTTTGGAACTATTTTCATTGGTGGACGAGCAGTAGACAAAGTGACTGGATACTGGTTACGAGATATTAACTTCTCATAGTAACACTTTATTTTATGGACGACTATTAACCGGCATGCATATTACTAGCATTTTGGCTGTTTATTAGTACTTATAAAGCACATATCAATGCCTTATTCTGCATGATCACAATTTAGATTTAACACCTTAACAACTACCATACTAACTATTAATCCGCAACAAATTAGGAGTTTACTGAGGAAAAAGCCGTTAATAGTTAGTTAATTGTGAGAATTGGACTTTGTGCCCCCCCCCAAAAAAAAATATAGGCCTATATTAGAAACAGCCCAAGTCATTGTTTTTAGTTCTGGTGAGATGGTTTTGCATTGATAAAGGAGGTTTGGATGCATCTAGCAATAATAATAAAAAAATCCTTATTATATAGCACAGGAATAATCACAGCTGTATACAGCTATAACTTGTGGATGTGATAGGCTATTGTAAACTGTGTGATTTTTTTGTGCTTTGTTTATAGAGTATGGAGATTACACATGAAACATCCATGTTGCTTCAAAAAAACCTACTTTACATTTCAGTCATTTGAATAGGCCTGGTTCCTGTTGCAAGGTGCAAGTGAGATGAAGTTTTAACAGCACAAAACTGAGAAGTTAATAACAAATGCTTGGCTGCAGTTTGAAAGGGGCTGTTGGGTTGGCATGTGTAACTAATCTGCTTTGGCATGAGTTGGCTTTGATACTTTCTCACCTGAGAAATCTCTTTGGGTCTGTCAGGTATAGTGTTCTTCTAGTCTCCTCAAGGGACCTGAAAGTTGATTATTTTTTACTTGAATATACAGTAACAACACTTGGCATGGCATGGAGTCAATAATTGCTGGTGTATGACTAGATCTCTTTCACAAAGCAATAGTACCAGTCCGAGCTGTAAAAAACAGTATGAGTGTATATCCAGATATTCTGGATGGGACAGACAATGCTAAAGGACAACACGTTTAAGCTATCCATCATTCCCTTGCCTGACATTGTGCTTTTGTGCAATTGTTTGTTGTAATTTCATAGTTTCTAGTAAACTGTCACTCTTCTGAAACAGACACGAGCCTGTTTTACTAGCTTATACTTCCCTTTTCTCCTGTTCTGTCTGGTTTTAGATATTTTGTTGTTGTACATTTTACAGTTAACATTATTAGTGAACTCTTGAATATGTTTTTTCATACTATCCTTACTGTTTGCATCCTGGTTTCTCTCTGCCCAGATCTCATTATGTGATAATGACCCATGAAGTTGCACTTTCAGTCTCTGTCTCTCAAAGAGCTTTCAATGGTTTCAGTATTTGTTGAAAGGGGGATTCAAATTCCAATGTCGAACTTTCAATTTGAATTTTATTTGCACTCTCACCAATATATTACACAATTTCACCGTAATTTATTACAGTACGATGCTGAAACCAATGCAGACTATAGGTCATTTTCTGTGCTAATACGACACATTGCTATAACAAATTATCATATTGCGCTGCAGTGTCGGATAATATTGCAAATAGTTTAATTATGATTATGATTGCTGCTCCCTTTGGCTGTGATCTTTGACCTATGGTGGATGTTTAGTGTGTTGAAGTATGTTAATAATATAATTTTATAAAATTAAGGGTGAATTTAAATACTGTTTTTGTGTTGTTATCTGCAGTGAACTATGAGTTGTCAACCAGGCATGAACACTCAGCGTACAAAATTCAACTGGTTACAGATAAGAAACATGATTTTAGAAGCTAGCTAAATAAATAAATACATTTTGAAAAAAAAAAAAAATTATACATTACAACACGAATATATATATATTCAAGCCTAATTGCATACTGGGATTGACACACACAATGATATTGCAGTTACTATAAATAAATAAATATATGAGATTATGCAAATACAAGTAGACAACTAGCTAGGTATATATATATATATACAGTGGGTACGGAAAGTATTCAGACCCCCTTAAATTTTTCACTCTTTGTTATATTGCAGCCATTTGCTAAAATCATTTAAGTTAAATTTTTTTACTTATGTTTGTCTCTTATTTATTTGTGATGTAACAAAATCATCTATGAATCAAAGGAGTGTCCTGAGGATATTGTATGAAAATGCCTTTTGATTTTAGAAGACAAATGTATGTTTAAGGTGTGCCATCTCATTGTAGTTGATAAATTAAGAAGAAGAAAGAAGAACACACCCCAAAACTAAGTCTGTATTGAAAACACTGTGGATGCTTCATTATGAATGCTTTGTGTCAGTACAACTCCATCATGTAAGAAGTCAATCGTGCATCTCTAACTTGTTGTACATATGAACATATACAAGCACCACAAATTCAGAAGCTATCACACCCCATTCTTGACCTAAGTTCATAGGGTTTATTAGTAAAACATGAAGTGTGTCTAATCAGCTTGTGACTCCCAATGGCTTTGTTTAGAGGCTCGTTTCAGCTTCATTGGTTCATTTCCAAACATTGTATCACAAATAAGATAAATGAAACCCAATTTAAGATTTGACATTCTCTCTCTCTCTCTCTCTCTCTCTCTATATATATATATATATAT